AAATATATATATATATAACTAAACACGGCAACTTGTTCAGTAAAATATGTTAAATATTACGTTACGTTAAGATTGGTTTAGCAATTCATTTATCGTAACTTAAAGTACGTTACGTTATGTGACGTTACCGTCCATTAGTTACGTTATATTCCATTACTTTACATCGCATTACGCTACGTTGAAGTAGTTTACGTCAAATTACATATCGTTACGTAACACTGCTCCACGTAACACTATGCCACGTAGCACTACGTGATGCTATAATAATTGTCATTGCATATCGATACGTCGCATTGTACTCAACATAACCTTACACAGCATCGCGTAACATTACGTTACTTTAACGTAACGTTAAGTTACGTTATTGTATTTTGTAATGCTATGTTGCATTGCAAAACTTCACGTTTCATTACATTATTTTACGTAACGTTACATACCGAAACGTACCGTTAAGCGATTCGTTTTTTCTGTTTTTTAACATTTGTTAATTTGTTTTCTATTTTGTATTTTAAGTATTTAATATATATTTTTTTTTTATTCTGTGGTGGGTTCATTTTGTGTGTGTATTTTTGTCTCGCTCTCGCAACGCGCGTCTGCTCTTACGTTAACGTTGTCTCTTATTCGTTTTAAAACTTGTAACTTAAAATTAATTAATTCAATTAAACTAAAATAAAAAATAAAAAGCCTAATAAAAAGAATCTAATAAAGATTAGAAGGTATTTTTTACTGTGGATGCCTGTAGTTAGTCTTAAAAAAAAAATATCCAGTGTTGAATAATTTGCTAAAAAAAATGTTTTGCAAGCCTCGCTTTGAGTTTATCTTTTTTTTTTTTTTCATCTTCATTTTGTGTAATGTCTTCAAAGTTGTTAAAAACTAATTTTAAAAATTAAAATTTATAATTAGAAACACACACGCATAAATTAATAATTTGTTTTTTTTTTTTCTCCTTTTCCTTCTTGTTTTATATTTTATTAATTTTATTATTCATTTAAAGCTTTGGTTTCAATGTTCATAATTTCTGCAGCAGAGTTGAAGAAATTTTTGTAGAGAAATTATAGAAATAGTTGTTAATATTTAAATTTAAATTTTTTGTTTTATTTTATGAATTTGTTTTTCATAAAGAACAGCGAGCTTTTTATTTTGTTTTTGGAAGCCTAACAAATTTGTTGTGTTATACGTGAGATCAAAACAAGCTACAAATAAAAAATGGTTTTAGAGAAAGTGTTGAAAAACGTTTCGTTTTCATTTTCGTTTTTGTTTTATTTTGTTTTAGTTTTTGTCCTTTTCTAGCAATTTTGTATGTGCGTTAAGCAGCGTTGAGCATAATTCTGTATTTGTTTTCTTCTCTCTGTTTTCATTTGCTTTTTGTAAACTCTTAAACTRTGCTTAGTGTGTGTGTGTGTGAAAGAGACGACTATATGAGCTAAGTTCTAAGTGTTAATTGCAATGCGTTTGCGGCTGGCGGGCAGGGCTTTGGAGGGGGCGTGGGGCTGAGGTTCTGCGGCTTAGACAATTTCCTTTTTGATTTGTAATTCGCAGTTCGTTGTTGTTGTTGTTGYTGTAATTGGCGGCGTTTGCTTTTTGCTCGCTTTGGTGGCCATTAAAATGGGTCGCGCTGCCGGCGCTGGCGTCGCCTCTGCTGCCGCTGGCAACGCAGCGGCCTCGCGACGCTGACGTCGCTGCTGTTGCTGCTGCTGCTGCAGTTGCTGTGTTTGCAGTTGCCGCTGCTGCTGTCGCTGCTGCAGCGGCATCTCGTCATCATCCGAATCCTCCAACTGCTTCTGCTGCTGCTGCTGTCGCTGCTCGGTTCGCGTCAACTGCTCTGCCTCCTGCTGCTGATCGTCGTCGTCCTCCTCCTCCTCCTCTTCCTCCTCCTCGCTGCATATCTGCGCCTTCTTCATGGCCGTCTCTACGCTGCTGTTGCTGCCATCGAACAGCTGGCCAGCCGTTGCCGCCGAATCGGGCGATTGAGGCGTGGTCGCGGTGGGCGGCGCAGCCAGGGCGCTGCTGTGCGGTGCCTGCGCCGTGCGCTCAGCCAGCGCCATTTCGTGCTCATGCTCCTCCAGCTCCTCATCCTCCTCCTCCTCCTCGTCCTCTTCCCCACTGCTGCGACTTGCGCTTGGACTCTGGGCATGTCCATTCGACTGCAGCTTGGGACGCTTGCCTGCTGGCGCCTCTTCCTCCTCTGCTCGCTGCGTCTGCTTTTGCTGCGCAACGGTTGTGCAACAGTTGAGCGAGCTAATTACTTTGTTGTTGTTGTTGGCCTGATCCTGATTGAGCGTCTCATTGCTGTCGGCTTCATTCGCGCCCAACAGCAGCTCCTGCTCCTCCTCCTCATCGTCCAGTTCGTCCATCTCCTCGTCGTCATCCTCTTCCTCCTCGAGCAACGTTTGCTGCTGCTTCAATGGCACCACACGCAGCTTATCCATCGCCTCCAATTGGCGACGACAACGCTGCAGCTGCTCGCGCAGCTCTCCAATCTCCTCCTCCCGCTTGTGCAGCAGCTCGCTCAGCTGCACATTCGACTCGCGATACTTTTGATTCTCTTGCAACAGTCGCTGCAACAAATGCAGCACACGCTCCCGATCCTTCGATCTGGTGTCCCGCAACGCATCCACCGCCAGCTCCCACGGCGGCAAGTGCATCGCACTGCTGTCCGGCTCACCGTGGAGGCTGTCATCATCCGTATCCGTTGACAGCTCAAACTCGCTGCCCAAATGTGATTTGCCATTCAGCGGCATCTGTTGCTGTTGCTTCTGCTGCTGCTGCTGTTGTTGTTGCTGCTGTTGCAGCTGCAGGAGTTGCTGTTGCTGCTGCTGCTGCTGCTGCTTGGCATGTGGCGAGCTAACCACATTGGAGGAGTGCGTGCTGAGATTGAGGCCTGCGCTGGAAGACTGCGTGGGCGAGTAGCCAGCCTTGTAGTAGATGGGCTGCACAGGAGCAACAGTTGCTCCTGCCGCCGCCGCAGGTGCTGCCACAATTGTTGTTGCTGGTGCTGCTGCCGCCACTGTTGCTCCTGCTGCTGCTGCTGCTGGTGGCGGTTGGCTCATTAGATTCTTGTTGATCCTAATGCGACTCGGCTCATTGTGATTGCTGCTGCTGGGCAACAGCTTGGCATGCTGATTGACGGTGGCTATGATGTGGTTGCTCAGCGGCGTTGCAGCGACGGCAACTGTTGCTGCTGCTGCTGCTTGGTTGACAGCAACTGGCGCTGCTGCTGCCACGGCCGGCACCGGCGATGTGGAGGAGGTAATCTCATTGCTGCCCGCCGAGAACTCCTCGGCCGGCACCTGACGCGCAACAACAACAGGCGCCGCCTTCGGCATGGGCGAACTGCTGTTGCTGCTGTTGCTGTGGTTGCTGTGGTTGCTGTGGTTGCTGTTGCTGCTGCTGTGGCTGTGATTGCTGTGACTGCTCTGGCTACCGTTTGGCGGCTCGCGCTCGCTGATCGCGGCCGGCGGCGTTGCTGCCCGCTCCTGCTTGATGTGCAGCTGCAGTTCGCGTTGCTCCAGCTCGCGCTGGCGTTCGCGCTCCTTGCTCAGGATGCTCTTGCGCGGAGCGAGCGCCACATTGGGCTGATAGGTGCGCTCGAAGCGCTCGCGATCTGTGCTCCTCACCACACGCTCCGGATTCTGCAGCTCCGGCGGCTCCTGGCAGGCGTAGGGCAGCGAGGAGAGGGCTGTGTACGCATGCAGATAGGCGCTAGCCGTGGGCTTTACGGCGTGCCACGGCTGGAAGGCGCTGCTCGAGAGCGGATGCTGTGACACCACTCGCTCCCGYTCCCGCTCCCTCTCACGCTCCCTCTCGCGCTCTCGTTCCCGCTCCCGCTCCCTCTGCTGCATGCAATGGGCATACATCATCTGGTAGTGCTGTAGGTCCAGCGGATAGTAGTTATCCAAGGCGGCTGCCTTTAGCTTCTTGCTCGGAATGTCCAACAGCTCGACGCGCGCTCCATGGTGCGGCAGGGTGTGCGGATGATGCTTCAGGCTGGCGGGCAGCGTTTGATGCGCTCCCGCCGGCTGCGATGGCGGCAGTGGCGGCGGCGGCGCTGGCGCCACCAAACCCATCGGCAACAGCAGCGAGTCCTCCATCAGCATTTCCACCTGCAGCAAAAGAAAGAGACAGAGAGAGAGAGAGTGAGTGAGTGAGTGAGTGAGTTAGCCGACTGTTATTAGAAAATTGATCGGCCATAAAAATAGATGCTGGCGAAACCAGTAGCCGTTGGCCATTAATTTGAATTGCCAGCGCGCCGTCGCCAGCATCGTTTTCGACGCGGCTAATTATAAACAAACAACTGGCCCAGACAGGATCACCGCCAGCAGCGAGCGGATCCCAGCGCGGCGACGATCTTCGAACAGCCCCAACTGCTAAACGCCCCGCGGCTATGGCGCCAATTGTCATTGAGACAGCCAGCCAGAGCGAATGCCTAAACAAAGTACACTGCACAAAATTACGAAAGAGTTCGCATTGTTGAGGGCATTCTCCGTGTGTTTAATTAAGCCGAAGCTTCCTTGATAGCTTCCAAATCTACTGTTAGTAAGCTTTTTCAATATGCTAATAATATAAAAAATAATTATAATATAAGCGCGGCGTGGGGTGGGGGGAGAGAGAGAGAGAGAGCACACAAAAATCAAATAATAACCCAGCCGTGTGAGCTTTCGT